AGAATCTAACACAACAACAACAACAACAAAAACAAAGTTGCTGGAAAAGCATCTGTGAAGGAGAAAACAGAGTTAACATTTCAGGTCCGGTGACCCCAAAAGGTTAACTCTTTTTTCCTTCACAGATGCTGCCAGACCTGCTGAGCTTTTCCAGCAACTTTGTTTTTGTTCCTGATTTACAGCATCCACAGTTCTTTTGGTTTTTATTATAGCAGAATCTAAACTGAACATTGGTGTGTGGAAGATTGAGACTTGCCTGATGGATTGGTGAGAGGCCAGATTAGATTTGTCATTTCTTTTGTGGGCAGGATGTACTCAAACAATTTTCCACATTGCCAAATAGATGTCATGTTGTAGCTTTACTGGAAAAGGCTACTGCTGGAGCAAAGGCAACAGCACCACTGGCAGAAGTTTGTTCTCACTCATTGCCTTTGTTGCCTATAGTGAAGATAAAAATATAACCTGAACTCATTATATTTAAGTAAACGCAATAAGTTTATTTTCTGTGCACACAAGATATGAATATTCTAATCAGCCTCTGGAGATCTCTCCATTCTCGCTCTCCCCAAGTTACAGGCTTTCATAGATTTTTATACTCAGCCCATTTCAGCTGGGCGTTTCTTACATCATACAGGTGTACAGTTGATCATGGCTGAATGTACCCACCCACAGCCATGCCCCCAGATCTCATGCATGCACATGATCAAGTCATGTTATTGCAACTGCTGAACACTGCGATTTCTAGCAGCAGTGTTACAATGTCCACTGAGGTTGCAACTGTCAAGCTCATTCTAACCCAGCCTTGAAAATGTGAACTTGACTGTTTACTCATTCAAACAAGCAGTCGCACAATGCTTTCTTAGTGCAAACACACTAAAACTATCTTTTAGCCCTATGTTCCCAATTCTCAGCAGGTATATCTACCCCACTTCACAGCACATTGGGCCATTTCTTGCTCTCATGTGGAATTAAGGAAATTGACTAAAATGTGGCTGAAGTGATAGTGGGGACCTCAGGAGGAGGTCAAAATTGACCATGTACTTTTTAAACAGGACTTGGTAGCAATGATAAGCGATTCCAACTTACACTTCCTTTAGGCCCATCCTTTGTTTCTTCACTTGTTCTATTACTGTCCTGTTTTGCCTTGCACTAGTATCCCTTTAGTCATTTAGTCTCTCTTTTGCTTTCCACTCTATCAAAGATCTTGTTATGACCATGGGACAGAAGCCCAAAGTTTTGTAGATATTTTTAACTTATAATTCCAAACTACATATTTTTTAAAAAGAAATAATGCAAAAAATAGCTGCAAATGTAAATTAAGTGGCTATCTGAAGTGAGACACAATCATGGAATATCACACCTATGGATGCAATGGAAACTTCAAAAATATAACGTTTGAAAGGTGGGGGAAGAGACCAGACTTGACTGTGATATGTTATGCCTACAAATAAAGTGAAAAGTTAACGAGCTCTTGCTCAACGGCAAGCCACCCCGCTTTGGATTACCTCCCAAACTGCACACAAACTTTATGTTTTTCCCTTTAGAAAATGCACAAGGGCAGGGGTTAAAACACCAGTTTTAACTTTACCACCATGTGCTATTAGGACTGAATATTTTCACATGTCATAGCCTGGGTTCAAACAATTAGTGTACTGTGGTGGTCATAGTCAAAGAACTGTCCTAATGCCCTAGCCACCCCTGTGTTGCAGGTGAAAACACTGTCTGATTCTTGAGTACTCAAAATCAGCTAGCTAACAGCCAGACGAAAGGAAGCAGAACAACAAAAGGGTTCTTTTTTCACCCTGAATGCTTCAATTCAATCACAGTCTAAAGTAATCCAAACTAGAGAATCTCAACCAATCTGCAATGCTAAGGAGTGTGAAACCAACTGTTCAACTACCAATTCCAACATTACTAGTAACCTCCTCTATTACGGCCAATCTGGTCATTGCAAACAATGCCAAAACTGATCAGCGTATCTTTTCTAAAATGTTTATCTTTTCAGACTCCCTTCTTATTTCTAATCTGATGTATATGCATTCTGTTACTAATTCTTCTTACACTTAGTAATTAATAAACTCACCCTTTGTTAACACGAGAATGTGGTTAGGTTGGGTGCTTTTACAGCACAAGTCCATTGGGATCTGGGAAAAAGGAATCTACGAGGTAATCGTTCCATTTTTAAAGTAATCAGGGCAGTTCACATCCCATCTGGAACATATTTGGGAACCTCACGTGGGTCTGGGCATAATACTGTTTTGTTCTTCTCTTCTCGTCCTTTCCCTGCTTTGTAATTGCTGAAAAAAATTTAACTCTATCTTTTTCCAGTCCTGGTGAAACACTAGTTTTGTTTCTCTTTCTGTAAATGCTGTCTGACTTTCTGTATTTACAGCATTTTCTGCTTTCTTTTCTTTTAGGTGTCCAGCCCTTACAGTATTTCACTTTTGCTAGATATCACCAAATAATGATACAAGTGTAGTGACGTACCATAACCTTCAGTAAGAGCTACGCATTGTTTTGTACAAAATGTTGACAATATTGATGACATTGTGTTAAAATATCTTTAAAATTTTATCTTAAAATGATAAAGCACAGTTACTTTTTACATTTGGTTCAATCGATCACTCCCAAGCTACTGCGCAAGCTACTGTACATCACATATGTGAATGTTAGAAATCAGTCATCATCCCTGACCATCACTGGCCCACATTCAGCTTAAAGTTTTCAGCCTTAACTTCATATCCACCCATTGCTCATTCAAGCTTTCCTCCAACCTCCACCAGCCTTGCATCTCTTCCCACACTATTCACGTATTCATCTTTTTGCCTGCATATTCATATAGTATGGAAGGTGGTCATTCACCTGTCTGCCCTTTGCTAGTTCTTGAAAGAGCGGTCCAATTAGTCCCACTCCCTTGATCTTTCCCTTTGGTCCTGCAATTTATTTCAGTTCAGTTATAAAATCAATACACTTTGAAGGATAGTATTGATCTGCTCCTTTTACCCTTTCCAAATTGTAGCACTGTTCAAGGTAGTCTAGCCTTCACTTTCCTTGTCCTGGCCTTTTGGGAATTGCCTCTCCGAATTCATTCAAGTCTCTACTTCTGGGTTCAGCTTTGAAAGTTTTCTTCAAGGGGAATCTTTCTAGTTAAGCTCTCAACCATTTGACCTTTACCTCCATACATTGACCATTACTGTTTTTGACTATCAATTACAAAATGTACATTTTGATATATTTAGGTTAGAGGTGCTAAATAAGTTAAAATATTGTTATTCCACACAAGTTCCAGTGCATATGTAAAGTGTATAAATGTATTCATTTTGGATAAGCATGATAAACCAGTCTGAAAGTTAAAGTAGAATTTTTAAATCTTAATTTTTAAAATGATTCTAAATTTAAAAGGCAGGAGACTTGTATAATTTTTTGAAGAATGAAATTTCAGTCTTGCACAGGATGTTTCATTTTTCTGTAGAAAATAATGTGTATTAAACCTTTTTTTTTGCCTCTTATTAGAGACCAGTTTAAGCTGTCACGAAGTATATAAAAGATGCGTCATTGTCAGTGTGAGATAAGATAAATATTTGCAAGTTAAATAAACAAGTGAGAGAGCTATGGCCTTTCTTAGGAGAAGCAATATTTGTCCTGTTTACCTGCTGGTCTTAATATCATGGCCTCAGCTATTTCTCTTGAGACATATCTGACGGAAAAACATAATCCATAATATTTTGATGATGTCAGAAATCTTTAATGCAAAACATATCTCTGCAACATACAAATGTTAATGTCAATATATTCATGGACTGAGATTGCAGACTCTGTGCAATATATCAAGCAATGGAATTTACATAATGCTTTATGAAAAAGTATTAATGCATGGCATTTTTCAAATATGTTTTAAGTTTAAATATTTTTAAGAATTGCTGTTGAAATTAATAGTTTACATTTACAAGTAAAGAGATATACTTGTAGTTTCTCTGTTTAGACTGTAAGGTACTCCAGTGCAAAATTCACACGACCTTTTATTATCTTCAAATATTGGTGTTGCATTTAGCCAAGGCGTGCTGTAAACAATCAATCCATTTGTAAAGTTTTTTTATAAATTTGAAATATTTTTAAAAGTAGTTAGAGGATGGTGATTCCTTTCATAAATGCATTATATGAATGTTTCTAAAATGTAACTAAAATCTAAATGGGGAGAGGAAAGAAAGTTGACACTTTTATAGGGTTTTATGTAGAATTACTGACCAAGATAATTGAATTCTGAACAACATCTTTGAACAAACAAACAAAAGAACAAAAGAGAAGTACAGCACAGGAACAGGCCCTTCGGCCCTCTAAACCTGTGCCAATCACCATGCCCTAACAAAACTAAAAAACAAACCTTCTGCCCTTATTTGGTCCGTATCCCTCTATTCCCTTCCTATTCATGTTACCATTCAGATGCCTCTTCAATGTCACCAATGTTCCTGCTTCTACCACCTCTTCTAGCAGTGCGTTTCAAGCTCCTACCACTCTCTGCATGAAAAACTTCCCTCGCACATCTCCCTTTAACTTTCCCCCTCTCATCTTGAACCTATGTCCCCTTGTAATTGAAACTTCAACCCTGGTAAAAAGCCTCTGACTATCCACCATGTCTGTGCCTCTCATAATTTTGTAGACCACTATCAGGCCTCCTCTCAGCCGCTGTCTTTCCAGTGAGAACAATCCTAGTCTTTTTAACTTTTCCTCCTGAAGTTAGTTGTTTAGATATCTCTCAATATCTCTTTGCAGTTCTGCAGTTTTCTTCTTAGCATATCTGTATTCTGGTCCAAATTAATGTTACAATCCCACATTATAATATAACAATCAACATAGACTTATAATATTTTCATTGTTTTACATACATAATATTGTAATAGTTTGAAGTGAGATGCTTTCAGTAAATTGGAGATTTGTTAGAATCATTATCAGCGTAGGCATCTATATTTACATACATTAACTTTGGTTTCTTGATTTGTAAGGTTCCGAAAAATAAGTCAACCAATACACAGCTCCGAGGAAGTAAACCATATCTTAAACACCATGAATGAAACCATTGTGATACCAGCTGTGTGCCATTTTACGAGGCTGAGCCAAAACAGTTCTAATAGCAAACATGCTTCTCCTTGGTTCTCAACTGCATTTGCAGCTGTTGGACTTATGTCAAACCTGATCGCTTTTGTGGTGCTAATAAGCGCTTACAGAAAAGCACAGAGCAGATCAAGATCCTCCTTTTTGATTTTCCTATGTGGCTTGGTTGTGACAGATTTTTTAGGTCTTGCTACAACTGCATCTATTGTTGTGACTTATCATCATTTGGATTTCAAGTGGGATGAAGTTGATCCTCAGTGCCACCTTTGCCGGTTTTTGGGATTTTCAATGGTGTTCTTTGGACTCAGCCCTCTGTTGCTTGGGGCAACCATGGCAGTAGAACGATTTTTTGGAATAAACAAGCCATTTTTACGTTCTACCAATTCTTCAAAACGACGTGCTTGGTGTACTGTGTTTATAATATGGCTGTTTTCCTTTTGTGTTGCATTGCTTCCCATTTGTGGACTTGGACATTATACACACCAATGGCCTAATTCCTGGTGCTTCTTTAACATGACAAACAGCCCAGGCGATGTTGGATTTTCAATATTGTTCTGTAGTGTGGGATTGTTATCTCTGGCGGTGTCTGTTTTCCTGAATACAGTCAGCGTGGTTACACTGTTCAAAGTTTGCTTCAATCGATTAAGTGTTGAAAGGAGCAGAGACCATGAAGTGGAGATGATGGTACAACTGTTGGGTATAATGGTTATTGCAACAGTCTGCTGGACGCCATTGTTAGTAAGTACAAATACATTTAAGTTCTGTTTTAACATTGTTAATTACTGAATAACTTGCTAACTGACCTTTCCCATACCATGTACAGGTTAACAGTAGAAGGGGCCTATAGTGAGGCATTGGTAAACATAACGGAGCACATATTTCAGCCACTCAGACTAAGTGTTAACATCACTGCGTAGTTCTTTAATGAATTAAGCCCTGGCAATTCTTTCCCCTGTGTTTTGCCCATCAGATGTGCAATGTATTTAAAATGTGAGTTTATGAGGGACGTAAGCGTCATCCGGCTATCCAATTGGACACATTTAACAAAGTGAAAGGAACCAGTTCTGATACTCATGAAAATAATGAAATAGAAGGCCATGTCAAATAGTTTCAGAATATTATTGAGTTTTCATTCACAAATCTGAGATGTTATTTTTCCAATGTTCCTTGCTAATATTATCAAAACTCTTCAGGGGCATAATTCTTATTGCTAACTGTGGTTGTGAAAGTTTGTTCCATGTTATCAATGCCTTCTGGCAAATGTTCATACTGTTTACCTCAATGACTCGAAACTCAGAATGAGACAGCTGCAAGATATTGAACTAAAGCCAAGGAAAGAAGGAACTTGTAATTCTATATTACGTTTTATGATCTCAAGGCATCACAAAGTACTTCACAATTAATGAAGTACTTCAGAAGTTTTCTGACTGTTTACAATCTAGGGAAATTATGCAACCAATTTGCATACCATTTCCTTAAGTAGCAATAAGGGACCAGACAATCTAATTTTTAGTGATATTGGCCTGTAGTTAAATATTGGCAGAACATTGGGAGCAATCCTTATAAAACTTTGAATAATGCTATAACGTTATATCTACCTAAGAGAGCATACACAGCTGTAACTTCATGTCACCTTTGAAGATGACAACATCCCTAAAAGTACAGCAATCCCTCAATACGCCATTGAAGTGTGAGCCAGGATAATTTAAATAAATGCACAGAGGCCGGTGTCCTGTCACCAAGTCACCCTTCATTTACCATGGACTGTGATCAGCCAGCTCAAAGCCAGTCCTTAGACTGAGAAGACCTTCTGAATCATCTGTTTCTATTTGCCACCCAAGGCTCCCTGATTGGTCCAGATTAACAACCCCAGTCAAGGATCTCATACTCAATGAGATCCACCTGGTCCTGGTTCCAATCCTACAGTAATAAACTCCTATTCTCAGCTCTCATTATCACTTATTCAGCTTCTCTTCTGTCCTGGCCTATGATCAATAATCACTTCATCTGCCTATCCTTTTTATATCTCTCTCTTTCTCTCTGGGCTCCACCTCCACCTATCCTTCACCACACACCAACCCCACCTCCATGCCCCGATACAACCACGTCTTCAGCATAAATACCACATTTTCCTAGATACTGTCATTTCTGATGAAGAGTCACAGAACTCGAAATGTTAACTCTGTTTTCTCTCCCCAGATGTTGCCAGACCTGCTGAGTTTCAGCAACAATTTCTGTTTCTGTGTCAGCCAGGATTATGTGCACAAATCTCTGAAATGGAGACAAGAATCGAGATTTAGGTCCTCTTCTCATTGAAATGGAATTAAATGATGACATAGCAACATTTGCAGAGTGATTTTTACCTCTCTAAAATGTCTTCCCAAATCAATATCAACTGTTAACAAACCATTCATCTCATTGCTGTTTGTGGAATTTTGCTTTTCACAAAAAATAGCTCCTTTGCATGCACTAAAAGAGTTATTGCACTTCAAACAGTTCACTGCCAGTGAACCACATTCAGGCACAAGATCTGATAAGTAGTGAATGAATCTAAGTTATTCTAATTAGTTCTCGTGAGCATTTACTATGTATTGCCAGTTAGCGCAAATGGGATTACAAGATAGTTTATGGTCTGGTGTCATAAAGTGGTCTATTACATTTGTTTTATGTAACAATGCCTGTCTTCATTAAAATAAAGAGGGAGCTGAGATTATGAAAAATATTCGAGGTATTGAAAATGATTTGAATTATGAATTCTGTAAATTAATATTATTTGAACCTATTCAAAGAGAGCATTATAGATAGAACAATGCAAATATTAATAACAATAACTTATAAAGTCTCCTCTATGAGACCATAAAATGTAGGAGCAGATGTAGGCTATTCAGCCCATCAGGTCTGCCCTGTTATTCAATTAAATCTTGGCTCAATTGGTAAGCCTCAACTCCACTTCCCTGCCTTATCCTCATAGCTCTTGATTCCCTTATTGATGAAAAATCCATCCATCTCAGCCTTGAGTATACTCAATGAGTCACCTTGATAGCCCTCTGTGATAAAGAATTCCACAGATTCACTGAAGTGTAAATTCACCATAGTCCTACTGGACCATAGGGCTCCTCTCTCATTTGAGAGATACAACTGATGTGGTTTAACCTGAGGTTCCCCATGCCTCTGGTGAAGGGACAGGTTGAGATGGAGAGTCCTTCATAGTAACCTTAGCTAGTGCAGGAATTGAACCCAAGTTTTGACATTGCTTTGCACTGCTGACCAGCCATCCATGCTGACTGAACCCCTTTACAGATTTGCTATCTTCTGAGAGTGAGAAATTCCTCCTCATCTCTGTTGTTAAATACCAGTCCCTTTCTCTGAGTTTATGCCATCTTATTCTAGATCTTCCCACAAGAGTAAACAACCTCTCTGCATCCACCCAGTCAAGACCCCTAATAATCTTAAATGTTCCAAACTTCAATGAGTAGAGGCTCAACCTACTCAACCTCCCCTCATAAGACAATCCCTCCATACTTGGGATGAACCTAGTGAGCCTTCTCTGGACTGTCATTAATGCCAGTAATCTTTCCTTAGATTAAACCAAATCTGCTCACAAATATTCCTGGTGTGATCTAACTAGTACCTTGTATAGTTTTAGTAAGCATTCCCTATTTTTATACTCCATTTCCTTTGAAATAAAGACCAAAAATCCTTTTCACTATTACCTACTGAACTTGTATGCTAACCTTTTGTGATTGTGTCTGTTCTGTATCTCAAAATTCCTCTACATTGCTGCGTTATTGAAGTGCATTTACTTTTTTTGATGTAGGCAAGCTACATGTGAAACAAATATAAAGTCATTGCAAATTTAAATGCAAAAGAAAATGACACTTTGTGTTGATTTTCACAGGTACTTATCCTCAAGAAAGCTTTTACAGATACACCAAATGGCATAACCCTGAAACAAATTCTAGTTATTTGCATTCGAATTGCCACATGGAACCAGATCCTTGATCCTTGGGTTTATATATTATTCAGAAGATCAGTTTTGAGGCGATTCAACCCAAGTCTTCGAGCAAGGCCTTCAATTTCATCATTATATCCGACTATAAACGCATCGTATAGTCGACGATTTACACAAGTATCAATGGCAACCACATAATCTGTTATTGCAGCTGAATTCAGCAGGGGTGCCACCAACCTAGACTGACTTGTACTTAACTGTGAAGGTGTATTTTAGATTACATTAAAGCATGCTTATCTAAATATTCGTCAATCATAACATGGCTTGGTACCCTGAACTTGACTTTCAGAATTATGCACGTTAAATGATTTTTACGTCAGCCTATATTTTTTATATAAATGCATTCCCTTAAAATCTGGTGTACTGTAACGTATATACAAGGCTATAGTGAATCGGCTTGCAATGCAACCAAGATTCCATTGTTTCCATTTATACCAGCTGAAGTTCAATTGGCTACTGATAATTTCTTAAATATGCTGGTTTAAAATAAAATATATTTCAAGGGTTTTGAGACATAAAAATAAACTTATTGAACTACCTTTCAGTAAAAAAAGTTTGTACATTGGCACATCAATGAGATTTTGAAATAAAGGAAGACATTTTTTAGTTATAGAGATGCAAAAGTAAGTACCAATGATGTGAATAACAACCGAAAGAACTGCGGATGCTGTAAATCAGAAACAAAAATGGAAATTGCTGGAAAAACTCAGCAGATCTGGCAGCATCTGAACTCTGAACGGTCACTCAAGCTGAAACGTTAACTCTGACTTCTCTTCACAGATGCTGCCAGACCTGCTGAGCTTTTCCAGAAATTTCTGTTTTTGTTTCTATTACTAATGATATGAAGTTTATACAGCCATTATCCTTGCCTGGATCCTAGTCAACTCTGAGATTTCCATGGCATTTAATGCTCATTTTAGTTCATATTTATATCACATCTATTATTGGTCATCTTCCAGAAATCACATTGTTTTTCAAATATATGTAACATTGAAGGGATCACATATTATGACATGTTCTGTGCTATATGACTGTATGACTCTACAGCTCTATTACTAAGCTACCAGGATGGACTGTATGAAGAAATCATAGCCACCGCAGCAAATCTGAAAATCATCCATGCAAAGAAATAACAAGATTTGTATCATTCCCTTTATCAAAGATGGCAGTCACATGCTCTTGATGAATGGTGACTATAGGAGCTAATGATTAATATCAATCAGGAGAGGAAATCAGAATGGTTGAGATGGAGCCCAGAGAGAGGGAGAGAGATATGAAAAGGCTAAGAAAACAACGAGATTATGGATAGCAGGCCAGGGCAGACAAAAAGCTGAATAAGTGATAATGAGAGCTAAGAGAGTGAGTGAGCTGTATTGAAAATAACACAAATAATGTGATAATAGGCCTAGGAGCAGGTGAGAATGGGTGACTGTGCTAAAAGCAACCTATGTCACACAACAGGACCATGTGTAGGCGTGGGTAAAAAACATGGAAGGTTGGAATCAGGCTCTAAAGTTTTTGGACACACTTTTGAGTCCTAGAGGCTGTAGGCTCCCCAAGTGGAAAATGAAATGTTTTTTAAGCTTGCACTGAGGCTCACTAGAGCTACTACCTGCAGTAGGCTTTCAACAGAAATGTTGGTGTGGAAACATGGTGGTTTGTTAAAGTGGCAGGCAACTGGAAGCTCAGGACCAGGTGTTTTGTAGGTGTTCTACAAAACAGTCATCCAGCAGCAAAAGCCAGGGAGGAACACAGTAACCAATAAGCCTATAAATAAAGCACGGTGCGGATTTGGGCCTAGTCTTTACAGGGCACTTAGGTTGCAGCAGCAGCAGTTTGGAGGTGGAAAGGGACACAGGAACTAGTAAGGTGCAGGAACACTGCAAGAATCTTTAATGTGGTTCCTGTTGACATCATAGAGCTTCAAAAGGTGAGATAGGCTCCGGATTAGTGAGTACTGGGCACCTGACAATTACTGGTTAAACAACAGGAGGCTGGAAGAACACAGCAGGACAGGCAGCATCTGGAGGAAAGCAACAGTCAACATTTTGGATATTACCCTTCTTCAGGACTGGATTTGGGGCTGGGGGAGCTGCAGATAAAGACGGGGGGAGGGAAGGGGTGGAGGCGGAATGGTGGTGATAGGTGGATATTGGTAGTAGGTATGACGTGGTTGGTTGATGGGAGGGATGAATCTGGTTGGTGGCTGGGAGGGAGGGTCAGAAAGTGCAATGGAAAAGAGGAGGTGGTGCTGGAAGGGGAAGCGGGGGATGGGTGGGAAGGTTATTTGAAATGGGAGGAGAACTCAATGTTGAGTCCTCCAGGCTGTAGGGTGACCAGGCGGAAGATAATGTGCCGTTGTCGCTGGTTAACTCTTCCTTATCCTACAGATTTAGAGCAGTGGGAACTTAGTTACAGTCAAACTTTTCATTACCTACGTGACAGAGTAGAAAGTCTAACAAAATAAGACTAATAATTCTTGTCTAAGGCATTAATTGTAAGTTTAAACAATGTCAGGGGAGGCCAGTCAAGTGGAATGTGTAGCCTGTAACATATCAGGAGTCGTGGATGCTGCCAGTATCCTATATGATCATATGTGCAGGAAGTGCTCCCAGCTGCAGAAGCTGGAGCTCTGGTCTCAGACATTGACCAGTCTTTGGAGATACTGTGGCGCATCTGCGAGGCTGAGAGTTACATGGGTAGTACTTTTCAAGACAACAAGGTGCAGAGCTGGATGAACACAGCAGGCCAAGCAGCATCATAGGAGCAGAAAGGCTGAAGGCAGTACTTTTCAAGAGGTGATCACACTGCAGCTCAAGGAACTAGAGGAAAGAAGGGAATGGGTGACCACCAATCAGTCCACAAAGAACCCCCTGTGGTCCCACTCACTAACTGGTATTCCATTTTGGAAGCTGATCATGGTGGTAGAATCTCAGAGGAATGCAGTCAGAGCCAAGTTGTCGGCACCGCAAGTGGCTTGACAGTATGGTGGGTTGGGGGGGCGGGGAGTGAGGAAGAAGAAAGAGAGAGCAATAGTAATGGAGGATTCTTTAGGCAGGGGAGCAGACAAGCATTTCTGTGGCTGAAGATGTGACACCAGCATGATGTGTTGCTTCCCTGGTGCCAGGGTCAGGGATGTCAGTGAATGGCTGCGGGGCATCCTGAAAGGGGACGGTGATGAGTTACAGGTCGTGGTACATGTTGGTACCAAGAATATGAGCAAAGTAAGGAATAAGGTCTTGCATCAAGAATTCAGGCAGCTAGACAGTAAATTAAAAAGCAGGACCTCAATGGCTGTAATCTCTGGATTAATCCCTGTGCCATGTGCTAGCGAGTTTAGAAATAGAAATCTAGGACAGATGAATGATTGGCTCAAAACTTGGAGCAAGACAGAGGGGTTTTGATTCCTGAATCACTGGGACCATTTTTAGGGAAGGTTGGACGTGTACAAATTGCATCATCTGCACCTGAACCACTTTGGAACCAAAATCCTTGCAGGTAGGTTTGCTAGTACTGTTCAGAGGAGTTTAAAATAGTCTGGGAGACACAGAATACTGATGAAACAGAGACATATCATGCTACAGCAAAGGAAGAAATTCACAATGAGTTCAGCTATGTTGAGTGTCAAGAGAGTAAGGCAAGGTTGGTTGGTCTTTAATGCTAGAAGTGTAATAGGTAAGACTGATGAGTTAATGGCATAGATTGACACATGGAAGTTCATATTGTTGCCATCACAGAAACATGGTTGAGAGAAGGGCTGAACTGGCATCTCAACATTCCCGGGTATAGCATCTTTAGGCAAGAAGAGGAGAGTGTAAACACCATCCTAACACTATTAGTTAAGGATTTAATTACTGCAATAAAGAGAGATGATATCTTGGAAGGGTCCTCCATTGAGGCTGAATGGGCAGAACTTAGGAATGTTTCGGGGGCAGTCACTTTAATGGGACTGTATTATGGGCCCCCAAAGAGCCAGGGGAATTGAAGAGCAAATATGTAGACAGCTCACAGAGGTGTGTAAGAGTAATTATAAGTTAATTATATCAGGAGATTTCAACTTTTCCAACATAAATTGGAATAGTTGTAGTGGTAAGGGTTAGAGGGGGCGGATTTCTTGAAATATATCCACAGGAGTTTTTTTGTATCAATATATAGAAGGCTCAACAAGGGGCAGTGCTGTGCTGGATCTGGTTTTGGGGAAAGAAGCCGGACAAGTGTTCGATGTGATAAGGGACCAAGGGGGCAACATGTGTGTGAAGCCACAGAATATTTGAAGGGTGTTGAATGAATACTTTGGTCTTCACTCTGGAAAAAGGAGAATGTAGGTATAGAGTTCAGGAAAAGGGGCTGTGAGGAACTTGGACAGTTTGACATAGGAAATAGGGAGGTATTAGAGGCTCTATTGGGCTTAAAAACAGACAAATCCCCTGGCCTGGATGAAATGCATCCCAGGCTGCAGTGGAATTGCAGAAAATTGCAGGGGCTCTGACATAAATTTTTAATTTCTCTCTGGCCACAGGGATAGTGCCAGAGGACTGTAGGATGACAAATATGGTTCCACTTTTTAGGAGGGGTGGTAAAGATGAGCCAGGAAATTATAGACCGATGAGTCTCACGTCAGTAGTAGGGAAACTATTAGAGAAAATTCTGAAGGAGTGAATTAATATCCACTTGGAAAGCCATGGGTTAATTAGGGAGAGGCAGCGTGGCTTTGTCAGAGGGTGGTCATGCCTAACAAGTTTGTCAGAAGTTTTTGAAAATGTGATCAAGTGGGTGGATGAGGAATTTCAGTTGATGTGGTTTATATCAATTTTAGCAAAGCCTTTGACAAGGTCCCAGATGGGAGACTGAATGCAAAAATTAAAGCACATGGAATTGGGGGAATCTTGGTGAGATGGATCAGAAATTGGCTTAGTAGTTGGACACAAAGAGTATTGGTCAATGGCTGTTTAAGTGCCTGGAGGCTGGAGTCCAGTGGTTTTCCACAAAGATCAGTACTGGGACCCTTATTGTTTCTAATATATGTAAATGATATACATGAAAACGTAGGGGGAAGTTTGCAGACAACACTAAGATCGGTAGAGTGGTTAACAACGAAGAAGATAGTTGTGGGTTACAGGAAGATAAAGATGAGTTGGTCAGATGGGCAGACCAGTGGCAGATGGTCTTTAACCTTGATAAGTGTGACGTGATGAGCTTTGGAAGGAGAAATAAGATAAGGGACTATTTAATGAATGGCAGGACACTGGGTAGCTTAGAGAAACAGAGCGATCTTGGGGTAATTATTCACAGATCCCTGAAGTCAGCAGAGCACATGAATAGGATAGTTAAGAAGGCATGTGGGACACTTTGCTTTCATCAATCATGGCGTGGAGTATAAAAGCAACGAGGTAATCTTGAAGTTGTGTAGAGCATTGGTCAAGCCACAGCTGGAGTACTGTGTGCAGTTCTGATTACCTCACTACAGGAAGGATGTGATAGCACTGGTGGGGGTACAGAGGATGTTCACCAGGATGTTGCCTGGGTTGGAGAAATTGAG